TCTTTTGATGTCGTGTAACGATAGTAATGCGATTTTTTGTTGTTTTTGAAGTAGTCGATCTCACGAACGTATATACGTCGGGTTGAGCTCTTTCCGACCGTCGTCACCTGTGTTCTCGTGGCCAGTCATTTGTAGGTTAGATTCGAAATAAGAACACAGTTAAATGATAGCAAACTAGAAACGCGGTGATCTCAGAGATGCGTGCGATCGCAATGGTGCCTCCAAAGAGAATGCTTCCTCTCTCAAATTACTGTCTAGTAAAGTGCTGCCAGGTGAAAAAATGTTGCAATCGTACCACAGCACAAAAACATCGTACGCCTAAGAAAAATTGTAAATAAAAAATCGTACATAGATATTATTCATTCTTTTATTCACTTTTATTACAAAATTAATAGTAAAAAATACTATGAAAATAGTACATACGTAAATATTATAGTAAATCACTTTTTTTTGTATAGATTTTGCGTATTCATCAGTTTGATCATCTTATTTGTTGGTTTAAAATCGGTGCAGTTTGCGGTGGCTCTTATCATTTGCTTTGCCAGTAAGGTTCCATTGACAGCTTCGTTGGCCAAATAATTTCTAAGTTTGGTTTTTATTAAATTGACTTCACTAAACGTCCTTTCGCAATCAGCACTCGAGTGTGGCAAGCATAATAGAGATTTGGTGCAAACTGCGCTAGAGTTTTGTATTCTTCAAAACGTTTTATTTATTTATCGACACCAGCGGATTCATTTTCACAAAAAAATGCACGTATTAGACTAAAGTAACAAGTAAAACCGTTTTTTTTTGTAAAACTAAGAAAAACAAGTATCTAACAACAAGATTGAAATATACCGTGCATGAACATAATCATTCAATCATTCGTCGTAGTCGTTCCAGCTATAGGAAATGTTTAAAGAAAGTTAAACAAATATGAACTCTATTTCTTTCGAAAGAGAGTCTTCTTTCATGTATAGAAATTAGAATAAAAGCGGCTTCCCTGAAACTCTGGGCAATATTGTCAATATTCATTATTTTATTAATCAGTCAAAACAGTTTTTTTTTTGAAGATTTTACGGCTCTGGACACTTGTCTTTTGTAACAAATATAAACATAAAATAATAAAACATAAAACATAAAATATAACATAAAATAATGTTACAACGGATTAAATGTAAAAATCGTATCGTTTTCAGTATGATTTCGATGCTTCGATCGTACTCGCGTAATATTTTCAAATAGTCGTACAAATACGATTTCAATCGTACAGATGGCATCCCTGGTCTAGTAATCCCACAGTCATAGACTAACTCTTCACATGTCACGCATCATCCACAGATTCACTGACACTTTATAACTATATAACTCCTATATTTTTACTGGTGGTAGGACCTCTTGTGAGTCCGGACGGGTAGGTACCACCGCCTTGCCTATTTCTGCCGTGAAGCAGTAATGCGTTTCGGTTTGAAGGGTGGGACAGCTGTTGTAACTATACTCATATCTTAGAGCTTATATCTCAAGGTGGGTGGCGCATTTACGTTGTATACGTCCATGGGCTCCAGTAACCACTTAACACGAGGTGGGCTGTGAGCTCGTTCACCCATCTAAGCAATAAAAAAAAAACTTGCCATACGTCATTGTCTATCGAACGAGTCAATAATAATTCTACCCATAAACGATTACGATCGGATCGCATTATATATAATTTAAAATGTTATTATTATAATATTTTTATCTCTTAATTCGAGCTATGTCGTGTTCACGAAAACGATCGCACAAGTTTTAATAGTTGTGATTTTTATTTTTAGTTATAATTAATAAATGTATTACATGTGGTAGGTAGGTGATTATGAAAAATCATTTCTAGAAAGTTCTTACTATCTATTGTTGACTGAGAAATATTAGTAATTTATTTTTTGCGCAGTACGTACCGTACCACGAGATTAGTCTACGGAACTCTTTAGTGCAACGTCATATTTATACATAATAATATTATAATAAAAATGTATCTTAAATAAATAAACAATTGTTCTGCTCTAGATGTGTTTTAAAAAGATATATTTCAATGAATGCAATAATTAAATGTTGAAGTGTTTTCTCGAATTATTATTACGTGGCACATCCAGATTAATTTTACCGTCACTCTGTTATTTTTCTAAGTATTGGTGCTTATATAATAGGTCAGTTTTCAGTGCTGTGAATCACTTAAAGTTTTAATATTTAATTGTACAAATGATGCGCGCGCATATTAACAATTTTATTTATTTATTGATTAGATGGGTGAACGAGTGAATTATTTGTGGAAGTCCAGAGAAGGTTTAAAAGGTAGATAAATATGAAAATGCTCGGAATTAAATAAAAATAACAATTTTGTTTTTCCTGTGGTGACGCCCCCCCCGGACGGATTCCTTTTGTTTGTTTTAAGTTTATTTTATACAAAAGTTTAGGTCTGTTATTTATCGATTGAGGCACTACGAAGTCTGCCGGGTCAGCTAGTTATTGATATAAATGAACCTTGTAAACTAGGAAATTTTCTCTAGCCTAAATACATGTCTTCCCTAAATCCTGTTAACATACAGGACGTTTGTTGTTCTAACACAAATAACGCGCTATCGATAACCGTTTAACGTATAAATTAGAAACGAAAAGCATTTAACGCATCCAAAAAATGACGGTTCGACAGTTTTAGGGGTCGCGGACGTCTGGTTATTACTAATGACTCTGTTAACATCCGGATAACATAGTCTAGTACTATGTTGAATGTTTGGCTTATTAGATGTTCAAAGTTACGATGTCTTTTAATTTTAGAAATCTCGTATCCATACTAGGTGAAGCTAGATAGCAACTTAGTCAAGATTATAATCCCTTTTTATTATTATTCACCACTAACGACCCGCCCTCGCTTCGCTTCGGAAACTGTAATTTATTATTGATTTCTCCACTATTTAATGCATGTTATTATACATATAAACCTTCCGCTTTAATCACTTTTTTATCTATTAAAAAAAAATGCATCAAAATCCGTTGCTTAACTTTAAAGATTTAAGCATACACAGGGATATAGGTAGGGACAGAGAAAGCGACTTTGTTTTATACTATGTAGTGATGAGCTATAGATTATTTGCTATGAATTTATAGTTGGGCGCTAATGACACGTCTCTAATCGTTTAAAACTGTAAAAGATCAACTATGCTTTGCGTTTATAGCGTTTATACCGGTTTCATTTGGCCTAAATGTTTGGTGCTTTCTGAGCACAGTTGAGCATGTTCCAATTGTCCAATGAAGCTACCCTTGGAGCAACTTAGAACACGTTTCAGTTCTCGAATGAAGTTACTAAAACATTGTACTGTTATTTGAACACGTATATAAGAGTTACAGAGGGGTAGTATTTAAAACAAAAAAAAATAATATTATGAAAGATATCTATTCCAATAGTGCTCTGACGAATTGTTCGAGATGATACCATCATCTCCTTTTTCCATCGCACCGCCCACCACCGGAGTAGAGTTCATCCATACTACTTGGAGCCACTGCGGTCATCCACAGTGCGTTTCCAGAGGTATTTTTTGCCACGTACCATCCGGCTATGGAATGAGCTCTCCTCCACGGTGTTTCCCGAGCGCCATGACATGTCCTTCTTCAAACGAGGCTTGTGGAGAGTATTAAGCAGTAGTCAGCGGCTTGGCTCTGTCCCTGGCATTTCTGAAGTCCATGGGCGACGGTAACCACTCACCATCAGGTGGGCCGTATGCTCGTGTCTGCCTAAAAAGGCAATAAAAGAAAATTATTAGAAAAAAGTAAATACGACTCTTATGAAGCGGCAATTTTTCTGTTTGTTCTAGACAAGAGCGTAGAAGCGCGAATGAACGCTGTCACTGTGTTGCAATACTCAACTGGATACCCCCTAAGGATATCGGGTCAGAGATTGATGTGTGTTTACTGCGACGAAAAATTTGCCATACCCGCAGACTTCAGGAGCCACATGAAAGAGCAGCACAAAGTGTTTAAGGAAAAAGCCGCTTACGCCCACATTAGTTACTTGGCATTGGAAATCAAAGTTGACTGTACCGAGTTGAAATGTCTTTTGTGCCCGATGCAGTTTGATACTTTAGAAGCGATGGCCGAACATTTGAGTCGGACGCACGAGAAAGGTATTAACCTCGACGAGCGGATTGCGATACAGCCGTTCGTGTTCCGAGACAAGGGTTGGTCGTGTGCGCTGTGCTCGCTGAAGTTCTCGTGCCTGAAGGAGCTGAGCAAGCACACGATGTCGCACTTCCACAAATCGACGTGCGACAGTTGCGGGAAGTCGTTCGCCGACAACTGCGGCCTGAAAAAGCACATGGCAACGGCCCACATTACAGGGAAAGTGTGCCCGAAGTGTTTGCAGGTGTTCGCGACTAATGAGCTCCGATGGAACCACGTTCTGAAGTCGCCGGCCTGCTGGAGGTACATCTGCTCGATATGCGGCGAGAGATTGATGACGGAGAAGATGAAAACGAATCACATGCTCGCGGTACACGGTGTGAACACTAAAGTGCAGAAGTGTTACGAGTGTGACGCGGAGTTTTCCAACGCGAAGGTGTATCGTAAGCATTTCGTCACGGTGCACACGGATTCGGGTTACGAATGCGCCACGTGCGCAGTCAAATTCTCGGCAGAGGCCGATTACCTTGAGCACAAGACGAAACACACGAAAGAGAGGCCCTTCCAGTGCAGGGTCTGCTCTAAATCGTTTCCGCGCAAGAAGACGCTAGAGCAGCACATGTGGATACACAGCGAGACGAAAAGGTTTGAGTGTCAAACGTGCCAAAAAAAGTTCAACCAACGCGTCACATGGAAGACGCATATGAAAACGTATCATCCAGACTTTGTTATACTATAACTTGCGTGCCCATTTCTATTTCTAATAAGGACTATGGTTTTTACTAAGTAAATCTCCGAGACTGGTTCGCCGTGGTCGTTACAGGAACCATGGGCATAGCAATAAATAGATACGAAAGCAAATCAATTTAGATTGAGAAATAAAGAATGTGTGTATCCCGAAGAGTCTACAATACAACAAGAAATTCGACCGTAATCACTGTCACCTCAAGGCTTAAATTAATTTGGTGGGTTATAAATTCTTGATATTCTTTAATTTTCATAGTGAAAGACTCCTCAATTTAAACAAATAAAAGGAAATCGATTAACAAACAAACGAGGAAAAGTACTGACTGAGCTGTTTTGTTTTACCAATTTATTTAACGCACTGTCCCGTTTTAAAAAATGCTATAATCGCGAAATTTCCCATCATCCGGTTTTGCCTGAACATTTTTGCTGTGTTTGTGGATAAACAAAACTTGGACATGTTGCACTATGTACCTACATATTATTATATATATTAACACTTTTTTTTTGTTAAATGTGAAGCTAAAATAGCGATAAAGAGATTTTCACCTTCCTCTAGTTACTACTACGTAAGTTGGTGTTGTTACCTAAATCGCCGAGACCTGAGTTCATAAACATCCATGCAGGATTTTGTTTCCGAGTTTTCTAAAGTGAAAGAAAAAGGGAACATCATATTTGATCTCGACGGTATGTGGTTTGTAGCAAGAGTCTGGCATGGTTGATTGAAAAAATCCTTACATGATAACTCGGACCTACGTTTCTCACGGATGCGACGATACTGATGATCGCTGATGTTCGTGTTGCGTCAGGATGAAATATCAGCATTACCAATGCTAAATGTCTACCCCACGATGTAGATTAAACATCGGCACGGAACTCTTGCGTGGCCTATTATCGTTTCAAGATAATTGATTGTGCAATAATTTTATTTAAAAAAAAAAAAAAAATTGTTTAAATGTTTTTTAACTATTTTTTTTGTTTTGTTTAACACTGTTGTTCTGTACGTCCACTAAGAAATTTTGATTGAATTTTTAATGAATATCAATAAAACTCTATGAGTGTATTTCAACTGAAGCCAAAAATATACCTAGTATGCTATCCTTCTACTAACTTAAACAAAGAACAATTAGTTTTGTTTTAACACTAATCATACCAACACTTACTGGTACCTATTTGTACCATAGCGGGTACATAACGGTACACGACAAGTATTATTCAAAATAAACAAAACAAAATAGTATAATAACTGTAGATTATATGGTAAGAAAAAGTCGTGAAGTCAAATGTGTAAAAGCAATACGATGATTTGTGTATTTTCAATGCAAAAGTTCAAAACGCGTCATTTGAGCCGTTATGGTTTATGTTTAGTGTTAATCGTATCATATCTCGTGGCTTAGAAACTTGTCTCAAACGCAGTGATTAGGTATAACGAATGCGGGGTAAATAAGGCACAGGTCGGCAAGTGCTTCGCGCGCCTTTTTCAAGTCGTAGTCTCTTGCGAGGAATTCAGGGAGGTGGAGGACCTTCTCGTCCCCCTCTTCCTCTCAGGAGGCGCCGGAGTCCGACATAACCCGGTTCGTTACCCCCCCGGACCGGGTATCCGTAAATGGATTTCCCAGCGATAAAGGTCGGCAACACGTGAGCTTTAGTATTAGTATTAGTTTATTTTATTTATTGCGAATAAACCAAATAAACAAAACAAGCGATATGTTAGTGTAAGTCGTTCTTTGTATTTTTTTTCATTCTACCTACGCTGATAGCCTTGAGAGGCTATTTCAGATTCGCCTTGACGTGTAGGTAAGCTCACGGGGCTCAAACCGGAAGTTTTGCTAACACTGGCCTTAGTAAGAGCAGTGCTTCGCAGAATCTACCAGCGGATCGGAAACGCGGCCCACTGAGAATATCCGGCGTTAAACTCGGGTTGGCTGTGTCTATGGGTAATAAAACGTACTTTTGCTTCGAGGTTTTGAATGCACTATATCAGTGGTAGGCGATCCGCTGCTCTTTGACTCCTCGGCTAAGGCTCTTCCGAGAAATGTTTATTTCAGTTAGTTCAGGCACGGAATATTACTTATTACTATCTTGCCTTATAAGAGACGAGTAAACATTTCTGAAACACAAGGCTATAAAAATATATGTTCAAAAACTTGCTCTGAATAAATTTCAATTGCGTTATCTATATTTGACTCGTTTGGTTGACAAGTTTGCCGATCATTGCACTGTTTCATTGACCCCCGTATTTTGTTTGAGATAGATTGCGTGTTCACGGAAAAGTTAAAAGAGTTAATTAACGTGTTAAAGTACCTATGTACCTCTTGATGTAATTTATGATTACTGTTGTTTCAAGGTTGCGATTGTCAATAAACTATGTTGTACATAAAGGTTTTGTTTCTTTTCGTTATACACTATATAGAAATCGAAGTAGATACCATATCATTCGGTAGCTCTTTATCGGATACGTATCAAGGAAAAAAAATGTGGTATCTGGTACCTACTCTTTTCCCAGTACTGTGTGGGACTCTTGGAGCCAGTGGTTGAATTGGATGTTCTTCAACCAGTATTACGAAACATCCTGGTTAAAGTACATTATTTTAAAATTTGAATTTTTTAAGGGTATATTTTGAAGATGTTGTGTGCAGGATTAAGCATGTATATATCACCATCTCGTATAATTCGACCGGAAAACCCTTATAACAGTAGAGCTGTCGAGATGACGCGTTAGTTTCATTTTATTTGTTTTTACACCATACCATAACGGGTTAAATGACCCATTTTAAGCTTTTGTATTGAAAATGCACGAATCATCTTATTTTTGCACATGACTTCATGACTTTTACTTACCAATAATTACTTTATTATTTTTTATTTATTTTACTTTGGTGGTACTGGTGGTAGGACCTCTTGGGAGTCCGCACGGGTAGGTACCACCACCCCGCCTATTTCCGCCGTGAAGCAGTAATGCGTTTCGGTTCGAAGGGTGGAGTAGCCGTTGTAACTATACTGAGATCTTACAACTTATATCTCGAGGTGGGAGGCGCATTTACGTCGTAGATGTCTAAGGGCTCCAGTAAACACTTAACACCAGGTGGGCTGTGAGGTCGTCCACCCGTCTAAGCGATAAAAAAAATTACCTGTAGGACGATTTTGTTTCGCTCCCGAACTAATCGTAGTGATTATAAAGATGATGATGCAGAAAATGATACCGTTGGAGACAGATACGTATTGATATTTTTAGGGACTAGGAAAATTATTTGCGCAATATTTTAGCCCTTTAGCGAACACGATAGTGTACTGATTTGTTTCTTCCAATGATACTTACCACACTAAAACCATTTTGGACGACGTTTTAAATTTATTGGACATATGCGTATCGCACTTCTTATTAACACAACCCTGCACTATACGACGACGGAGAAACGAAACTGCTTTGAAGCCTTAAAAAAACTGAGTAACATCATCCTCGATACTTATAATAATATATACCCATCAATACTAAAGTAAGCAGTACCCATTATTTGTTCTAGTGTTTGACAAGAACAAACTGGCGCGAAGAAATGCTGTCATTGTATTGAAGTTTTCAACGGTATACCCGTTTAGGATCAACGGGCAAAACATGGTGTGCGTTTACTGCAATGCCAAGTACGAAGCGCCAGCCGAATATAGGAGACACATGAAGGAGAAACATAGATTCATCAGGAAACTGGCTTACGTACATTTGAAAAGTCCCGAAGCGTATATGAAGGTTGATTGCACGGAGATGAGCTGCAGCATTTGTTCGAGGAAGTTCGATAATGTCAGAGCCATTGCGGAACACCTGCGCTTCGCCCACGGCAAGACCGTGACCTTACACGAGGAGATCGCGATACACCCGTACGTGTTCGGCGAGAAATTGTGGGCCTGCGCTATCTGTCCTATGCAACTGACCTGTCTCCGAGGACTCAGTATACACACGTCGACCCATTTCAATAGATCGACGTGCGAAACGTGCGGCAAATCGTTTGTTAATTCACACAGCCTACAGAGACACATAGCCGGTGCCCATTACAACGAGAAGATCTGCGAGAAATGCAAGAAACGTTTCCCGACAAACGCCGAAAGGCACAAGCACTTGACCGAATCGCCGGCGTGCTGGCGTTATATTTGTCGGGTATGTGGACAGCGATGCATGAACCAGAAGAGGAAAGACGCCCACATGAGGGAAGTGCACGGACAAGAGAAGACCCGTATATGCACGGAATGCGGTCTCCAATTCACCAGATGGGAGCTGTACACGCACCATTTTATAACGACCCACACCGACAGAGCCTATGAATGCACTTTTTGCGGTCTGAAACTGTCCACGAAGAAGAAGTTTGAAGATCACAAAACTGTGCACACCAAAGAGAAGCCTTTTGACTGTCATGTTTGTTACAAGGCCTTTCCCACCAGGAAGACCCTAACACAGCATATGTGGGTTCACAGCGAATACAAGCGCTTCGAATGTAAAATGTGCGATAAGAAATTTACCCAGAAAATCAGTTGGACGTGTCATATGAAGTCGTATCATCCGGACGTGAATCCGAAATAATAATTTTATACCTTGGAGGATTAATTGTCACGAATAGTATTGTTAGGTTACGCTTACATTAAATGATTGAATCTTAATTATATTTTTGTCGTTACCAACCCCAATATATCTCTACGCTATTTTGGTATGAATCAATTGTAGTGGACTGTATTATTAGGATGGGCAAGGAACTTGTTAAATAAACTCGCGAGGATTGCACGTGTAAAATTTGTATATTTTAGAAATTTTGTAAATCGCGTACAATAAATAGCACGGATGAAAAGAGAATTCCAAAACTAAGACATTCCAAAATGCAAAATTCAAATGTAATGTCAAAAACCACAACGACAACAATAAAAAAGGTTTTATGCCATTTTGTTGGGTTTCCAACATCAATTTCAAGCAAGGCGGAAAATTACATCACGACGAAGTTAGATAATGACAACCATCGGCGATCGTATAAAAACAATATAAAGGGTTGTGGCGGACATTAAGTTGAATAAAATAATGGCTTAATTAATGTTTTTGTCGATTTATATTATTCAAATTAGGTAAAAAAAAAATCTACCTACGCCGAAAGTTCGGTTTTCCTCCCGCTGTACAAGGAAGAAAGTGTAACTTTTTCCTCCCCGGGTAATGAAAGGTGCGCATGCGCGTTAGTGTCTACGTCTGCTCTCACCCACCTAAAATTCTCTGCCATTATTGTGCTCGGGTAATTTGCAATATTGTGTTTAGTGTAAAAGTGAAATAAACAAAATGCAATAAAATTTAATACTGAAGAATTAAACAAAGATGAGTTCATCAGACAGTTCTTATTCAATTAGTAGTAGTTTATTTAAAAATTAAAAAATAGTTAAATTGTTTTTTTATGAGTATGGGGGCGCTTCGTCCCTGGACCCACCGGGGCTTCGCCCCTGGGCCCCGGCTCGGTAGCCCATGAACTTTGGGCCTGGTAGGAGAAAAAATAGTATGTGCACCGCGAGAAAAAAGTAGGACATCTCATCCCGTGCGAATTTCACACGCGGTAGGAAATGTCCTACTTTTCTCCCTTGGTGCACAATGTACTATATCATACCGCCAATCACAGCGCATGGTGGTCTTCTAATATCGGTCTTTTGTTATCGTAAAGATTGTACGGTTAGTTCGTTGTTTGTTTTGGCCTCAAATGACGTCACAGATAATTGAATATTTGAATCGGGGAATGTTTGCGCAGCAATTTCGAAAAACAAGATTGGGTTAACTTTATTATCAAGAAAATAATGATGATGGCGTGCGAATTGAGGAATGCTTACAAGCTAGCGCTCAGATATTGAACTGAGTGTAGAGCTTTGATTGAGATTGATCTAAATATAGTAGGTATTATTGTAAGCAATTAAGGACAGAAGCAAATTTTAGCTATCAAATAGAAATACTTTTCTATATAGGTATATGTTTTTAAGACGAATATTCCTTACTTTAACAGAACACTTAAAAACTGAGAAAGTGACCAGGGGGTTTTCTTGTTTGTTCTAGAACTAAGTCCGATGCACTACGCGAGACAAAACGCCCGGACGATAGTACAGTACACCACCGCATATCCCTTTAGGCTACCCGAAAGCGAGATGATGTGCGTATACTGCTGTGACAAATATCCCAGCCCCGAGGTGTTCAGGAAACACATGGAGGACACACATCCAGCCGCCAATCATAGGACCTCCTTCTTCCATCACACCGAGGGCTACGTAAAAGCGGACTGCACCGAATTAAGATGTCGCATATGCGGCGAGAACTTTGATAAGTTACGCGCGATCGCGGAACATTTGAAGTTAGCCCACAATAAAAACGTTAAGTTGGAATACGGATTCGGCTTGCAGCCGTACAAATTGAGAATGGACCGGATGTGGTGCGGGATATGTGGTTACAAATCGGTGCAGCTACGTTCGTTGAGCAAACATTTGCAAACGCATTATTTACAGTTTACGTGCGAGTCTTGTGGCAAGTCGTATGCCACGAATACTTCCCTGCAGCACCATATTAAGTATTCGTGTTCTCGGGTCGGCAACAAGCCCATGTGCAGAACGTGTCGCCGGGAATTCGATAATCTAGAGGACAAAAGGCATCACTACAAGGACTCTAGTCATTGTCGGTTGTACGTCTGCCAGGAGTGTGGCGAGAGATTTGCGTACAACCGCGAGAAAGCCGCGCATTTGGAGAAGGTTCACGATGTTCCGCTCAAGCAACACAAATGCCCCGAGTGCGACGAAGTCTTCAAAAAAGCCTCATCCCTCGCAATGCATTTTCGGATGGTTCACACGAAGGACTTTTCGTCGTGTCCTAGTTGCGACAAGAAATTTCCGAACGAATATAAATTAAATAGGCATCTGCCTGTACACACGGGAGAGAAACCCTTCAAGTGCAGCGTGTGTTCAAAGTGTTTTCCTAGGAAGTCAACTCTGAATCAGCATATGTGGATCCATAGCGAGATTAAACGGTTCACGTGTAAGATATGCGATAAGCCTTTCAATCAGAAAGTTTGTTGGAAAACGCATATGAAATCTCATCACGGCGTCAGTGATTGATTGTAATCTAACAAAAAAAAACAATGTCCGATTTTGTACAATCCAAAGTGATTAAATTTAAAAGAAACTAGTTTTCAAAATAAACGTATGTATAGAATTGCATTCTTTTCTTTTTCTTACAAGATTTCATTTTGAAATCATTTCATCGTCAATCAATCATCACATTGATTTAGGCCGGGCAGTAAATAAACACTAACGTTGCTTTCCCTTGCGATTTCTATAATGGTAGTGACATCAACATGTTCTTGCATTACACAATTATTAAACTGGATTTAACCAAAATTTCCACATTTCATGATTTCTTAATATTTCCGCCGTGCCCTGATCATATAATTCAGTTTCAGAAACCCTTAACATTTAAACTATAAAAGATTATAATTATAAGAATAGTAAGAGTAATGGAACACGAAGAACCAAAAGGCACATTGAATGACCAAGGACGTTTCTTTTTGTTCTAGAAAAGGCATGCGATCCTATAACCGTCGCTCGAAGAAACGCCGAGTTGATCGTCAAATATTCAACTGTATATCCATTCAGGTTGCCAGACACGAATATGGTGTGTGTTTATTGCGCTGAAGGCTACGAGGTTCCGACCATGTTCAGAAGACACATGGAAACCGAACATCAGCTGTTTAATCCTCGTATGGCGTTCGCGCATTTACCAGAGGGATATATAAAAGTTGACTGTACCGATATACGTTGTCGGATATGCTCAGAGCATTTTGTTACTCTAGAGGAAATAGGTTCGCACCTGCAGTCTGTGCACTACAAGCATTTCGACTTGAACACTGAAATCGGAGCCCAACCCTTCAAGTTTGAGAACGATCGGTTCAAATGTTCGATTTGTAATAAGAAGACCTTAGGGTTGAGGCAGTTAAGTCGGCACATGCACACGCATTTCCTAAAGTACACTTGCGATTCGTGCGGGAAGTCTTATGCTACCAACACGGCTCTAAGAGCTCACACTCGTTACACCCATTCCAGGGAGGGGCACATTTGTAGGAAATGTAAAACGTCGTTTTCCTCAGCAGAAGCTTTAAGGGCGCACCGTTTGGAATCACGCAGGTGCTGGCAGTATTTGTGCAATGTGTGCGGCGAGAGGTTCGTCAATTGGGAGCTGAAGGAGAACCATCGTAGGGAGATTCATGGAGTTGAGAAGCGTGCTTACAATTGTTTGGAGTGTGGCGAAAGTTTTGCCTGCCGGAAAAAGTTTCAAACTCATTTCAAGGTTTCGCACACGGACGACAGCTACATGTGCCCGTTTTGCGGAGTCAAATTCCCAACGCGAAGGATCTTGGAGGATCACAGGGTCGTGCATACTAAAGAGAAACTCTTCCCTTGCATGGTGTGCCTGAAGGCGTTTTCCAGGAAGAAGAATCTCGTTCAGCACATGTGGATGCACAGCGAATACAAACGCTTCGAATGCAAAATGTGCAACAAACAGTTCAACCAACGCGTCAGCTGGAAGTCTCACATGAAATCTTACCACCCGGATTTGTCTGTGTCGGAGCAACAGGGAAAGAACAATAACACAAAATTGTTAAATACCGAGTGAATGCTTTAACATTATTAGTTTTGTTTATAGTTATTTAATGCTGTATATTTTATTTCGTTGTACGTTTTGAGAATATATGGATCGAGTTTGTTTGATTTTTGGATTCATTTATTTATTAATTTGTTCGATATTACTGCGGTTATGGTAGGGCCGGTTTCGTTTTATCGTAGCTGAGGTGTCAACACCGGTTTGTGATACGGTAGAGGTATGTCCAAGCCGGACAGCCATGTGTTACTGTTGAATTATTGGCCAAACGGAATCGCATCAATGAGGTAGCACTTATAGGGGAAATAATGGGGTACAAGATAAAATGAGAATGTATTTACTAATAATTATTTATAATAGAACGGGGTTTTTACTGAATTTGCGGTATTGGAAAGACTTTTCGAATGATATATGAATATAGTATACATCGGTTATAAAGTTGGTAGGGTGTATTGTAATCTACACAAGAAGCCGTCATTTTGTTTAAAAATACCGCGAAATTGTCGTGCGTTCCGGTTTGGAGGCGGGGCAATACAAACGTGACTTCGACCTCGTGTGTCAAGGTGGGTGGGGGGAATGAACTTGTGATGACCATGGGCCCTCGTTCACCAATGTAAGCAATAAAAGAAAGTTACGAACAGACTTGTGACCAAAAGCGTTTCTGTTGTTCTAGAGCAATTCGGATCGACCGGTCGACGAAACGCCGCGGTCATTTTGCAGAATGTCACGGCGTATCCTTTCCGTCTGCCGGAAGCGACAATAATGTGCGTTTACTGTTGCGAGGACTTTCCCGATCCCGTAGATTTTCGGTCACACATGGTCACCGAACACGATTTCGTTAAAGTCGACGTAGCGTTTGCGCATTGCCGAGAGGGCTACCTGAAGACGGACTGCACGGAATTACGTTGCAGAATATGCTCTAAGGAGCATTCAAATTTGGAGCACGTAGCGAGACATTTAATCGATGACCACGGCTTCGAATTGG